ATACTCAACGGTCACCTCAATGCAGTACCCCGCGTTCGAATCCATTGCGAAACGGTATCCTCAAGCCGCTAGCAGTCTCTTTGCGACGTATAATGACCTTCTTCATGGTATGTGAATTCTGGTATTGCAAAGTACGTTCGTGCAGCTTATGAGTTTTGACAATACAATTGTGCCGTCTGCCATCTCGCACAACAACAACCACCATGCCAGCTCAACGATGGGAAGACCTTGAAGTCCTAGATCTTCCGCCGTGCAACAGAGGGGCTCTGAAGGGGCGTAAACCAAATACCGTAGGCATCCACTTTCTACCATATGACATACCGTTCACTGATTGACACTGAATCCGGTTTTATACAGGATTCAACACTCTTCGTGGTTCCTTGCTCAATGTCCGAGACGCTGTCTACATCCTGGTGCGTGGATTTGCCTCTGTATCTCGGGGATCACATCAAAAGAATAATTTGGATCGCTCAGGCTAATTGACGCGCTGAGAACTTTGGACGAGCCCGATGGCATCTACCTTGCAATATCCACGGAGGATTCGTCAATCGTTTATTACAGGATAAGCAGAGGATTCGCCAAACCGCCGCTATGATTCTCTTATGTGATCGGGCTGGTAACTTCGCAATCGCAGGCAAAGGACCCTCGTATGGAACGGTGCTGGAGGATTTGTCGAGTGCACTCCTTGGCTATTATACGGTGAGTTCGTGACTTTCATCCTTTGGTCTTCAGAGCGGTCTCTAACGAAGCATGAGGGGCTCTCGTTTCGTTATAAACGAAACAAGTGCAATTATATTGACGGAATCTATTTACGAAGCTTCTGTCAATATAAGGGAACGCTCGTCCAATCACAATCGCCTTCCAGCCAAAATGGCGCTTGACGTCGCTCACAGATACGCGCTTCTGATATCTATCTTCGCGTGGAAGCGACGCTATTCTGTACCTATACAACGATCATGATCATGATCGGTCACCACTACCCAGCGAGCTGTACGACGAATGGTTACGTTGACTTCCTCTTTCTCGACGACCACGTCGACTTCCACTCCGTGCTGGCCACACACATTCTTTTCAAGACATAGACGATGGATCGCAATTACGATCCATACTATGATTCAAAGTTTCAGCCTATGCCGGGGCCTCCTCTGCGCGCCCCTATGACGTTCCTCAGCTCGAATTCTGGCGAGCCCTCAAACTTCGACGATCTTGCCTCTCCACTCCTTGTGAAATCAGAAAAGTATGTGTATACAACTCGTTTATTGTGCAATTCACCTGAGCAGCTCTGAAGAGACCAAGACGGGATTAAGAAGTGGAGACAAAATCACAATGAAGTTACCTGGACGAGAGGGAGTAGAGGACGATGCATCGGCCGCTTTTGCTGTTGTGGTCTCCTCATGCTTATCTTCCTTCTTGTCAGCGTTGTCTTTACCCTTCTATTGGTGGGTTCGCCGTACCCTGCTCACTGAGTTTCTGTGCTGAAAGGCTCCGAAGTTCATCCGGCCGCCCAATATCCAGATAAACAACGTCGCTCTCCCAACAAATGGCAGCGCTGTGAGTGCCTTATACTTGCGTGTATGAGCGTGACGACTAAATTTTCACTTAGTTCCAAGTCACCTCGTCGTCTCTGAACCTCAACTTGTATGTGAACGTATCGTGAGTCTCCTCAACATTTCTTCCTACGCGACCGCTTGACAACGCTTAACAGCGTGGCCAATCCAAACTATTTCCAGGTCGACCTAGCGGAAATTAAGGCAGACGTACGCTTTCTCACCTCTTATATCAACTGGCATGATTTTGATATTCTTCCACGCAGTTGACGTACCCAATCAATAATCTCGACGTCGGAGGTGGACAGGCGAATAATATCGTCTTCAAAACCTTTTCCAACACTGCGTTCAAATTCCCTTTCACTCTCACGTACAATGAGCAAGACGATCCCAAGGGACTGGTACTCGATGACATTTTATCGCGGTGTGGAATCACAGGGCAGAAACGCGATCTCGATATCAATTACAAAATAACTGTACGACTTGTTGCAGATCTGAGTACATCTCATAGCTAATCTCTTGCTTTTCAGCTGGGAGTCAAGGTGTTATTTGTGACGATTTCGCCCTCCTTCAGCAGCTCCTTCAGCTTTGAATGTCCTATCACGGCGAGCGACATAGCAGACCTGCTGAACGGCGCAGGCGTCACAGTACCTGGAATCTCACCATGATGCACCTCAGCTGCTACCAGTATTTATGACTATCATCACTTGGACTCTGAATGCTTCACTTGCAAGTTTGGTAATTTATTGCATGCAATGAACAAGGTCGTTTCTCTCTCGTCTCTCGCCGGTTGGAGATGTGCAAGCGCTCTGTCAGACTGTTTGAGCTTTGCTTTCCAGCCTTTTCCTTTACGCCGACACGTCTACAATAATGTGAAAGGAAAGAGAGGAAAAACCTATAGCAAATTGCATGAACTTGGATCGAACGGGTGACCTGGTTGCCTGGTTGCCGAAGTCACCCGTTCGATCCGGGTTCATGGACGCGTCGCTCGCTGCTCCTTTCTCTCTTACCACCACCACCACCACCACCACCACCACCACCACACTAACTGCTACGCCATGACCAGAGCGCGCGAGGCTGATGTTTTGCCGGAATCCGCGACTGAATCGACTTCGGTCCCACAAGATACTGAAGGAGAAGATGATGATATTCGAGTTGCCAAACGGCCTCGCCTTCACGAAGTCCCGGTAACAAATGAAGATCTGCCCCAAACCAAGCGCACTCTACATGGAGACGACGAGCGTGTAGGTCTAGTGGACCGTCGCGGGAGGAGAGATAGAATCATGAAGGAGATGGAGACTGTTTTCGGCGGAGATTTTGTTTCCTTTCGTGGTGAGATGAACGACCAGCAGATGTACAAGGTATGTAGCTTTAGTTTCTCATTGTTATCTGCTAATACACCTGACAGGACCCTCAATGGGACACTGCGAATCTGATTAACGGGCGATATTTCAACGAGGATGACGCGGAAAGAACATGGCAAGGACGATACTATAACCCATTCCCGACCGCTGGCTCGTATTCGGCGCCTTATGGATGGCACCAGGTACGAAGTCCTCGTAAATTAAGTCGAGAATCGACAGTGAAAGATGTTTGATTGCTCAGACGGCTCGATCCATGGCCCAACGCAACGAGATGTGTGTCTCGTTGTCCATCCGGCTTGACCGTGATTTCACGCGCATATAACAGGTTTTTTACTTCGAATGAGCGGGATCGTAGCAATGCCGGTCAAAAAGCTCGGGAATTGAAGGGACCCAAGAGGTCTGTGGCATATCACTAAATTCATGGATACTCAAACTTAAGCGACAGTACACACATTTGCCGCAGTAGGGTCGTCCGTAGTGGCGAGGACATTCATACGGACCCGCGAACTGATCCCGAACCGATCCCGGTCACGGCAGATGGGCTTCAAGATGATGCGACATCTAGCAGAAACTATGGAAGTCCTATTCATGCAGTGAATGGGTGCGGTCCTTGGGCACAATGGCTTCTTCCGAAGGGCGGTCAGGGTAGCAGAGAGGAATATTATGGGTTTGCCCGCATATTTGATTCTTGTGCACCTCAACGTTACTGACGTTGTATCTCAGGCACCCTTCAGAAATTGTCAATCGAAGCAGGCGAATTCCAAAGACGTCTCTCAACGCCATGATGAGCTACATTGTCGACCGTGCTTTAGAGGCAGAAGACAAGAAGACGGACCAGCAAAAGGAGATCATCAAACATCTCGAGTATGAGAATAAAATGAAGAACAGGGAACTCGAACTTGCGGAGAATGAGGTCTCGGGATTGCGTGCTGATCTGTTTGTTGGAGGTATGTTGCCGGTGTCTAATTGCCTACAAATAACCTTGCAAGCGCTTTTCCGTATCCAGAAAACGGAATACTTGCCGAGATGAAGGATATGCTGGACGAAACACGGTCTTTGCTTAAAGATCTCCGGTCGACGGTCGCAACTTTGAAGCCAAAGCAAGGGAGTAGAATTGCAGCGATGCCGAGATCACCTCCTCTTTTCGAAACTCGCAACGACTGCTCAGCTCGAGGAAATTGCAACACAGCGACGAAAGGCCAAACCATGCCAATCGCCAACAAAGGAGAAGGAACTTCAAAAACTTGGAAAAGGGATATACCTGTCATAGATATTCCCAAGAAGCCGGAGCTAAAGAAAAGAGGCCGCCCCCCTACGAAATCACGACAAGCACTGGCTGTTACGAAGATTACCTTCGATAACTCTAACTTTCCTATCAGCAAGAATACTGGGCGAATTTATCCTAAAGACATACCGAGAGATTCAGAAGACGAGCTCGAAACGGCTCATCCCTATGACGACTACAGCTAATGACCTCTACTATATTCAACACAAAGTCAGCATCGCCGCAAGAGGGGAAAAACCTAGTCGATAAAAGCGGATGGAAGAAGTTCCAAAACTCAACCCGTCGCTTCGAATTCTGCTTATTCTGGATGCTCATGCCTCATCTGCTCGCAATGCTAGGGTCACCAAATCAACCTTTCTAGACCCGGCTCAACCTCCTGATGTTTCTATCTCGTTACTCCAACCTCTTCGGTCTCTCAACCGACAGTATGCTTATCAGCTTTTTGAACCAGCACCTCATCTTTCCACCAATGGCCGTTCTACCAACTTCACTCTCAAAGAAACAAGAGCAACAAATGCTTCGCTCTTTTCTCATATGCGTGTACATGTACATGTAATCTTTGTCTGAAACTAAAGACGCAATTTTTTTCGCAGTCGTAAAACATTCAACACATTTCGAGTCATCGTGCTGTTGCTCATCAGCAAAACAGAAAATTGACTGAACAACATCAATGGAAGGATCCAAGCCCAGAGCTGTTTCTTTTCGTTCAAGTGAAAATAGAGAAAGCTGAAAATGCAAGGGATAAAAGAGAAAAAGAAGAAAAAAACAATGCCATGAGCCCGGATCGAACAGGTGAAAAAATATTGCCATGAACCCGGATCGAACGGGTGACCTTTAGAAGACGCTTACATAAGCACTTCAGTCTACTGCTCTCCCAACTGAGCTATCACGGCTTAAAAGCTCTTTGTGTAACCTATAACATGTGTCGTCACTACTCAAATCCAAGGCGGATTCGACACAAGATGAATATTCTCAGCGTGTTCTACGTTACTGATCAAACGTTCCTGTGGTCAAGTAAGTATTACTCATCCGTAAAGGTCCCTGCGCTCTCGAGCCAGTGCTTCGCTTCGACTAATACCTTCCATACTTCTGACTATGTTCCAGAATTTCAGATTCTCGATTTCCTCCTTCGCTCGCCGAAGTTGAGCCCCCCTTTCTTTGAGCTTGCTCTCCTTGTCGACGAGGAGATTTTCAAGCTCTTGTATGCGACACTTATCTTGGGAAGGCTCCTCCGATGGACACAGATGGTCAGCGGAATTTAATTTGAGATCACCTCGACCGTTCAAAATGAACTTGATCCAGCTGGCGTTCTCAGGCTCCGAGTCCGCGTTCATTTCGACACTGTAGGCGTTACCTTCGTCTGGGATTAAATCCCAGACTGGAAATATGTTCGCGAACGTGCCGACGGAGTGGATAACCTCATCTTCATTTTTAGGGCCTTCAGCAATGTTCTGGTCTCCGCAAACGACTCGAAAGTTTGTGCTCTTGTTGTCCTCAGGCTCCCCATCCATAACATTGCCTTCTCTTTCCTCGACGCCAATATCCTCGCAAATTTGAATGATGTTCTCTCCCTCGGGCATCCAGTACAATGGACCCGTAGGATCGGCAGCATCTTTCGGTATGGATGGGTAGGGAGGAAGTGCATCCATTGGATCATGTCGCAGAACCATCATATAGAACGTAGTTGTTGTTTTCGTCTGACCACAACAGCTATTGAACTTCGCGATTCTTGCGCCATTTTCGATGGCTATAAAAATGTTGTGTTCAATAATTGAGGGGAGACCACTGGAGTCGACGTCTTGAGAAACGCGATCGGAGACAAGAGCAACATATTTCTCTTCTCCCGGACCGACATGTTCTGCAAAGACGGGAAAATGTCCCGACAAGTCCAACGGTTTGTGCTCGACATCGACTTCGATGAATGAAACTCGGTCAAGATCGATTGTCATCCTTTGACCTTTGGAGGTCAACTTGAAGGTCCCTTTTTTCCTGTTATTGTTTTTACTGATACTACAGCTGGCACAGCTGCGTGGCGCCATTTCCCTACGCATATAAATAAATCAGACAACGAAAACAGATGAAACCTCAAATACGGGCATACCGAGGAATTTGATCAGGGAAATGACAAGTACCTTCATTCACAAGCCTGATCAGTTCAATTATCTTGGATTGGGAGCGGGTGTGCATCGTTTTTTGCTCCCCTGGAAGTCCCGATGATCCCCACATGCAAAGCGTCCGGCACAATTGCGAATTCCGAGATTGGTGATGCGCCAACGTTGATTGCATTGCGTTCTTGAAGTAGCGGTTACTCTGCAAAAATTTGTGCGAAAGAAATTTGGCCCATATCTTCTCCGTTTCTGACCCACTAAATGTTAGGAATGAACTTCTTGAACTTCGTTTTGAAGGGAACTTCCCATCACTCACTGTCGAACACTTCGAGCAAGCTCTTTGCAACCTTGAAACACAAAGAAGCCCGTTGTTCGAGAACCGACTCTAACCTCTTCTATCCAATATTTGATGTGGCAATAGGCTATAAAGGGCTCGTTGGCGAGGATCGTATTTTTCAACTTTGACTTCGTATCTTGGTCCAGATAGCGCAGCCGCGCTAGTTGAGTATGCAGGTTTTCTGAGCCCAGGAGCTTCTGTAGAAATTTCGAGACCGACGATTGTTCGCCAGACGTCTTCGCAGGCTCAGAAGACGAGATATCATCGAATGATGGTTTCGACCCAGTCTGCGGAATGGCAAAGTTTGTGAGAATGTATTCAGGCATGTGACTACACGAGTTGTCAGGAATTTCCTTTTATTTCATCAAAGGTTTCAACACACCGAATTAATTGATAGTAGAACATTGAGAGGGAGGGTCCGTGTATTGCTGTGAATTCTCCCTGCGTTTCTGGTTTCCTCATCATATCTCCGATGGTTTCCCATTCGATTTGGTGTGCATTTATAGACGCGACTCTCCTGTATTCCCACCAGATACGAACAAAAAGTATGTGCGATTTAATGGATGAATCCATAAGCAGCGTCATGTATCCTGCCAATGTCCTCGCCATCAAGAATGAAACGTGTTGATCCCTCAAAATTTCAAAATCTTAGCAAAACGGACACTAGGACGAAACAAAAAACCACACGAACCACAGAAGGACACTGGCTCTGTGAGTGAAGTTCCGGACAATTTCGTGAGCGTTGTTGCCAAATGGCCCGGGACGATCCCAACCATATTTTAAGATCAGGGACCATTGATACCAAAAATCGTGAACCTTCGACTCCTTGACGGCATTGTGCATCTTCGATGTGGCAAGAAGTACATCGTGTCCCTTGATCTTTGGCTCAAGGTATCTTTCGTATGAAGTATGCGCCAGAATTTGACGAAGAAGTGGATAATCAAGGGCGAGATTGGTGATTTCTTCCAATGCTTTCAGCTGGATCGATAAATTTGGTGACCTCGAACACGTCATCAGAATAGTGCGATACTTCAAGACAGCATCCTTACCTAGTTAATTTGAACAATTTCTTGCAGAGTTTGTTCAGGCTCTTGACTTCTTCCTTCGTTAGACTTCTGCTCAGCGAGGTAAACCGATGCCGAACGTTCAAGTTCTGCCGTTCGCGAAAATTTGCCACTCTTTCTTGGTAATAATCGATGGCGAGGTTACGGATACAAGAGGCTATGGCTTCGGGTCCACCTCCGCGCCGTTGCGCTACTCTGTTCAAGAAATCCTCGAGCATCGCGCCGAGGAAATCGTAAAGCAGGCCAACTGTCCGTCCTGCACCCTCCAAGTTGGGAGCGGTGGCGTTTGAGTCAATGGACGACAGCGACTCTGTGGAAATAAGAGGAAGAGGAATAATCGAACGCTCAGATGAGCCTACGCCTGAATCCACTCTTTTCCTGCTGCCAGACGAGTTATGCGCCATGATGAGGGAATTGGAAGGGAAAGAGGTTCAAGCCGAATCGCAGAGCAGATGGGTTCACTAAAAAGCCATTTGAACCTTCGTAGTGCCGCAGTATTGTTGACAACACCGCAACAAATGCGATCTGTTGCACATGCCTCCATCAGCGCCCATGATGACATCCAAGTGAGCGAGATGTCTCCGGAACAGATCCTTCAACCTAGTGCGTGCACTCGGAAAGCGCTGTTCAACAAGATATCAGTTCGAATCAATAATTTGAAAGAGGTTGCCAACTTGCATAGTTGTAAATTTAGCTTTTGATAGATTGTTCAAGAAGTCCTCGAGCCTCGCTCCCATAACATTGTACATCAGGTCGACTTTCCGCCCGGTGCTTTTCAAGTTGGGGGCGATAGAATTCGAATCGATGGACGATATGGTTTTCACGCGAGGGATAGCAAGAGGTGCCGCAGTATCCTTAGACTCGGATGTGCCAGTACCCGACCCCTCAGGTTTTCCTTTTGTCAAACAGTGAGCGCAGTGGCATGATGAGATGGGAAGGAGGTTGTATCCCGACCTTCACGAAGTCCTGTGTCCTCTTATAGACTCATAATAGAGTTTTGGTGTCGTTCTTTTGCAGAGTTATAGTACGTCGTTCGTCGCCCACGTTGACAACCTTATAAAGACGTGGATACAAGCATTTCCCAAGCTGAGTATCTCATTCCTTCCATGAAGTAACGAGATCTGAACGTTGATATCTGCAAAACGATGAAGACGTCGAAGAGATTGCAAGAAAGCGATTTTCAAGCTTCAAGTCGAACCAAAGCTCGGGACGTGGCAAAAGCGGTGCAACGTTGTTAGGCGAGCCAACCACGTCTCATCATTTCCGCAGACTCGGATGCGCCCTTACTTAGTTACTATCCAACTTTACAGTACTAGCAACAATTGACTAGTAACTCTCGCCTTCTCAAGGTGCAATCCTAAGCTCGTTGCGAAGCATTTCGGAACGACCTCTCAGCAATTTTTATCGGAAGATTCAGACAGATTCTCCGGTTCGCTATACAGCATCTGACTCGGAAGACCGAGTTCGACGAGGATGCGATGGAACTCGGCCCACTTGCTGCAAAATCATCGCGCCTGGAGAGAGACTTATCATAATTCTCTCTTACCTTCTCCTCGTCACCTTCTCTTCGAAGGTGCCTTGATCTGTGAAACTTGCTTGAAAAAAATGAATAGCAGAAAAATTCTTCATTCGATGTCTCGACCTTTGTATGACCTGACAACGTCCCAGTAAGTTAAACTCTCTTCTTTCAACCTTCGGCTTTGCAATTCCTCTTCCTTCACAGAGAGCAGATTTTCGAGTTCACGTACGCGACGCGTTAGGGCTTCAACATTGCCTCCATCTGGGGTCGAGCGGGTCGGCATGTTATCGTCACGGGAAATCAAATTCGAATCGTCTATATCGTTGGACATGGACCGGGCGCTCTCCTCCGTGGTCCCGATCTCAGAAAGATGAGATGAGTGCAGGAGATCTTTGTTTACCACATTTCTCTCAACGCCAGCGCCAGCAAGACCAACGTCCTCATCCCTGTGTCTGCTGGTGTCTGAAATCAAATCCCATATCGGAAATATGCTTGGGAGCTCCGCGCTGGTGCATCTGGCATCTTCAACTTCGGTATCCTCGCCACCACCATCCTCGTCTTTGATATCGTCTTCCGCTGGAACCCAGTATAGTGGGCCGGTAGGATCGAGGGAATTCTTCGGCACGGATGGATAAGGGGGAGGCGCGTCGCTTGGGTCATGTCGTAGAATCATCACAGAGAATTCATGCGTAGTCCTCGTCTTTCCAACACAGTCGATGTACGTCACTGTCTTTGCACCGTCTTTGATGGTTGTAAAGACGAAACTGAGAAGGCAGCTGGGATGGTCTTCAATAGGGCATTTTTCGGTGACTTTCGCTATGTATTTCCTTTCTCCCTGATCATCGACCTCCGCGAGCACTGGATA